ACGCAACGGGGAACCGCGCGCGGCTGCGGCCATCTCTCGGGAGCGAGATGCGCCGGGAAGCGACTGCATCTCCTGCAGCGCCGGAGAAGGCTGCGCGCTCGGGAGAAGGCGCAGATGAGATGCTCAGAAAGGCATGCGCTCGCTGGTGCGTTTGCGGTGTGGGCAGCCTGAAGCAATGTTTCCAGCGCGCAGGAAATAATTCAGTCTGGGTAACATGACGCTGCAGCTCAGCTCGTCTTCAAATGAGCTTTTGCTGCTTTTGGTTTGTTGTTTCTTCTCTTTTTTTTTTTTTTTTAAAAAAAGAAGATTTTGCTGAAGTTTTTGAAAGAGAAAGCTAAGACTTCAGTTTATGACCCTGTGTGTCCAAAAATGCTTCCATTATTCTACTCCAGCTCCGCTTTATTGACTTCTGACACAGTAAACTAAGGTTTACAGGGTATGGAAGTCCATTTTTTCTCAAAAGAGAGCACACCATTGCTCTCTCCTCTTGTAAGCACAAGTGAAAATTAGCATAGCCTTGGTTATGTGTCTGAAAACTGTTAGGAAGTACAACCTATTTAGTGTGTGAACGCGAAATAAGAAGAGCAGACTGCGAGGAGCAGGCTGCGCGCAGAAGACCCTTCCGGTTGCTCTTGGCCGGCGCTCAGGGCGCAAGGTGCCTGAAAGCAGGGGCAGAGGTTGGTTTCTAGCGCCCAAACCAGTTGTGCGTCCGCGTTAACTGGGGCGGGGGCGCTCCGCCGTTGAGGGGCAGCGTAATAACACGCCGCAAGTCGCGCTCGGGCCTGTTAATAGCGGCTAGGGGCCACGAACCACAGCTAGGATGCTTTAAGCAACGGTCTGAGAGGTACCAGTTGAAGCGCGCTGTAGCGAGCCCTCCTCCTGCTGCGTTCACAGGTACATCAGTGGGTCATTAGAAAGAGTGAAGGACCTGTTTTGTGTTTTTTGGTTTTTTTTTTTGTTTTGTTTTAATGAATCCCAAGGCATTTGTGGGGATGTGCCCCATGATTCGTTTGTGGTTGCCCTCCCACCAGAAGCGCTGCAGACCTTGAGGAGGTTTGCAGGCCAGGAAGGAAGCGACCCTCTTCCTCGAGGAGGGGGGGGGGCCCCCTTCGCCCAGACGGGCGGTGGGAGAGCCCCCTCAGCTCCGGCCCTCCGAGGCCGGGCCGCGAGCGCGGCGTACGGATGGGAAGCGGTCAGCGTATCGGAAGCCCCCAGGGACCCCTCAGAGCTGGAGGTGACTGACGGATGTCCAGCAAGAAGTGGGAGCACCTCCCGTCCTCCGCTGTCAGCCCGGGCGTTCGAGGCAGCTGCTCAACTTCCTTCCTCTTTTGCGAGTGTTTGCATGGTGATTTATTTATGTCATTATTTTGCACAGAAAAGGGAAGGTGTAAGGACTGGCTCTCGTGTTACACCTTTGGTAACGCTGTTTGGCAGCTAGTCGTGGGCAGGAGCAAAGTCTGGGATCCCCATCAGCAGAGGGGCCTCGCCGTTAATCTGTCTTCACTGCCTCTTGTCGAAGTTTTGTGACCCATTTGATTCCTTAGGCTTTCTTCTGTGAAAGCCCTCTGATTTTTTTTTTCCGCCGTTCAGGAGCAAAGCATCTCTCCGTGTCTTTAAATATGGCAGATGGGGGATTTCTTCAGATGTCCAACAACTCAATTGAAGGAGACCTTGGGAGACCTCTCCCCTTCCCTGTCCCCCTTCTCAGCCTGTCTTTTCATCTGCAATCTGGAGATGTAAGGGCTATAGTAATGGAGTGTCAGAGGAAGTAATTGATTCATCACACGCCGCGAGAGGAGTCTGTTGCCTTTGGTGTCACTGGAGCTGAACCTCAGCCTGGAAGGGCGAGGGAGACGTGTAAACACTGCACGGCTGAGCTGTCAGGACGCAGCACCGCGGCCGAGCCAGGGCTGGAACAAAGCCTCGCCGGAAAGGAGACCTCCCCGAGCAAAGCCAGCCCCCTGCGCCCAGGCCTGCCTTCGTTAGGGACAAGAGGCATCAGCCGGCTCTCGGCTCCGCTCTCCTCGACCCGGCTGCTTCTCCCACCCGCTGTCCCGCTCCAGCGGGCCGAGGTGTCGGGCTGTGGGAGGCGAGGCGAGAAGGGACCAGGTTTGGGGTGCCGGCCGCCCCAGCCTCCGCTTTCTCTGCAAGCCGGCGCCTTCGGGTGGTTGCGGACGGGGCCGAG